AAGCGACGCGGAGAATCGTCTGGTTGGTTCGTAAGGACAGACGATCCGCGCTCGCACTTTTCTTCCCTTTCACGTCCGCGCGCGTTCGACTTGCACGAATACCGGGAAATCCTGGTGCTGCCAGCATGTCTGCCAGTGCGATCGGCGGTGTACCGAACGTTCACGGAACTGTCCGAGCGATTCCGATTCCGTGTCTCTCTGCCGGACGATGTGTTGGCGCGCGGGCGCGAGGCCAGTTCCATAAAACCGTAAACGTCGATTACGCAATGATGTAACATAATAATGGATATTGTCCCGGCAATGGAGATTCCGACAGATAGAGTTTCTTATTGCTTCGGTGAAACACGCTCGCACAATTGATACGTCGCCCATACGGAGACGCGTGGAACGTCAGTCGGTAGTCCACGCCGCGTGTTGCTTCTTTGATTTCTGCGCTCTTTTTTCGCGTCCGTCAGGGCGCATGCGCGACCGACCGCCACACACCGCTTGCTCGCCTGGCTGTGTTATACTCGTGGGAGATACGCGCTGGAAAACCGATTCTTTCTTCTTTTTCTTCTTCTTTTTTCACCAGTCGCGGGATAATGAAACGGGGTAATGGGTATATGGGTGTTTGGTAATAATTGGGTAACAGAAGTGAGCGTAGTAAAGATGGAAATGAGCGTATTACACGGTAGTATGATAATACGTGGTAATTAGGCAAGGTAACCGGAGGTGTGTGTATTTTTATTACGCATTATGCAACCAGCGTTTCTGGTTAATTCTGGTGCGCGTAGACGTGCTGAATTATCCTTCGGAATTACAAAGTTGAGTCATTCTCTGTCTCTTTTTGCAAGTATACCGTATATTAAAATTCAGCTAGGTATCCCGTGAAGAAGAATGTCGAAAAAGGGGGCTAATTCACCGGTCTATATTTAGAAGAAACAGAGGCACACGATACGGTTTCACACAACAGGGAGACCTCTTCAACATTCGTCGTGTTATTCAAGAAGTAAAAACGTAACCGATACTCGGAGGCTCACGGTTTGTCCAGATCTCATAAAGATATGCTTATTCATCCTAATGGTAGGTTGTCGACATGGACACGCCTCTATCAAAGTCGTCGGTATCTACAAAGAGGCTCTTCGAGATTTTCTTTCCGTTCCCACCATTTTACGCCTCGCGAGCAATTCCGCCCTCCTCCTCATCCTCTCTTCCTCCGCCGTGAAACGAAGAGGACAACCTCTGCCAACAGGAGCGACCAACTTTGCCTCTAATATTTCACGGAAGTCAACCGCGAAGATTTGTCGATGTTATCACGTTTTAACAGATACTTCCCCCTCCTTCCTAGCATTAAAATAAACACCGTCGTTCTTCCCCCTCCCTCGAGAGAAATTGGAGCGAAAGACGACAGAGCGAAGTTGGAGCAAAGCGAAAGAAGAAGAAGAAGAAGAGGTGGGAGATGGTGAACGAGGAGGAAATAGCAGAAGAAGGGATGGAGAGGGGAAAAAAGGGAGAAAAATGAGCGGCGGAAAAAATGAAGAGGAAGAGAGGACGAAGAAAAGTGGCGAACCGGCTGGCCGCAACAAACTTGAAGTAAACCAAACCTACCGGTCCTACCGCTCGCGCTACCACTACCACCTACCGAACTATTACCTACAGCAGGTCTATATCTGGACTCTCTGCCTCGTCTCTCTTATCTGATGCACCGACGTCGTGTGCCGGAATAGTGGAATCACCTACGTGTCTATACCGTCCACAGGCTATGTGGGTGTTCCTTATCCGACTTGCCGCGTCGAAACCCGATTCCCTTTGGGATCGAAGAGCTGATACTCACGCCACTTCCTACGGGGAACACGTTAGCGTTGCTCCAATTTTACTCTTCTCCTAAATTAACCCTTTCGCATTCGTAAACAAACTTTTACTCACTCTACGTTTCTTGGAAGAGACGTCTTAGGATTCGATGTCCTTTTGTCGATTTTTAGGGGTATTTTTGCATCGCTGTTTTTTAATTATTTGCAATTTTGTAGGGTCACTGCCACTGTCGAGGCATTGTCGACACAGAGTGACTTGCGCTGTGTTATTTTCGACAGTGTGTCGATTGATTTCCACTGCGATATCAAAGGTTGATAGCGCCTCTGTGCGATCGATGAGTTATCGATCCGAAAATTCTAGGGAAGATTGTGTTTGGCTGAGTTTCTGACAATTTTCACGTGTCAGTGTCGCTCATCGGTCGCTTTGGTTTCTCAATATTCGTAACGTGGTTTCACTCGTCGAAGAGACTCGCTTTGACCGAGATATCCCGCGTCTATCAATATTTACAACTCAGTGTCGCTTGTTCGACATTTTAGACGAGATGTCTCGTGTTCCAACGAAAAGACACGCGAAATATTCCGTCGAAAGCTTGAGAACGAACGACATCGAGTCGCCGGATAATTCGTCTAAATTTGTTCGCCGGATATTTCCGTCCGTAGATGCGAAAGGGTTAAGAAGAAGTTACACGTGAAATTTGTAAGACGGTTCGGTGGGGGATCAAAGAAACGGACTTCCTGTCTGCGAACAAAGGAGAACCGAATAGTGTTAAGAATAGTTGATCGTAGACCTTGATCTATTAACTCTAGGCCTTGCTGAAGCTGTTGACGCTGGGTCCAGTTTTTGTGGAACCTTGGCTCAGAGTGGAAGGCTAACTGTGTCCGCGATTCTATTCTGCCTCGAATAAAAGTCACTTCCTTGAAGCGGTGTATGTTCCTTTGAGCGTGTCGTTGAAAATTTTCTTATCAATCACTCGTGATATTCGAGCATGCATACGCACACTTATTCGCGAGGTTTCCTAATATCGAACTAATTATACGAATTTCGAAAATTTACTTCCATTTGTAGTTTAAAACAAACATTCCTAAATTTTCCCTTGGTAGACGCAAATCCTTAAATCTCTTCTATTTTTAAAATTTACTTCCACTTGTGATTTAAAACAAAAATTGCCAAATTTTCCCTTGGTAGACGCAACTCCTTAAATCTCTTCTATTTTTAAAATTTACTTCCACTTGTGATTTAAAACAAAAATTGCCAAATTTTCCCTTGGTAGACGCAACTCCTTAAATCTCTTCTATTTTTAAAATTTACTTCCACTTGTGATTTAAAACAAAAATTGCCAAATTTTCCCTTGGTAGACGCAACTCCTTAAATCTCTTCTATTTTTAAAATTTACTTCCACTTGTGATTTAAAACAAAAATTGCCAAATTTTCCCTTGGTAGACGCAACTCCTTAAATCTCTTCTATTTTTAAAATTTACTTCCACTTGTGATTTAAAACAAAAATTGCCAAATTTTCCCTTGGTAGACGCAACTCCTTAAATCTCTTCTATTTTTAAAATTTACTTCCACTTGTGATTTAAAACAAAAATTGCCAAATTTTCCCTTGGTAGA